CGGCGGAAACGACTTTGATGTGAAGTGCAAAATTCTGGCATTCGAGACTGAAATTTCAGCTAGAAAAGCGCTAGAGGCATTCTGGATCTCCGCAAGGAATCCTAGGATGAACAACCGAAATGAGTGTCTGTCCATTACAAATGACCTCTTGCCATTTATGCCACATTGCGAGCTATTGATGTGAACAGTGAGACGTGCTGTTCCTAAACTATTACTTCACTTGTATAATGCGAGCAGCACAGGTTGTGTCTCACTTACCTACTGCACAACTGACAGCTGAAAGGCATCGTTCCGCTCATGTGGTGGTAGACTGGTAAGTTCGTTTCTCACACTCGACTTTTCTTGGTAGTTCTCCTAAGATTTCGCCAAAAACGCTAGGGAGGCGAGGCGTTTGGCGGTCTAGTGGATACAACATCCAAACCTTGAGCTATGTTTAGGCCTCTGAGGACGACGATCCTGTCGAAACGTCAGGCCATTTATAATAAAAAGTCTTCCACCTAACCAACCTCTTTGGCAGAACAAATTAAGAACATAAGCCTACCGTCAGTCCATTAATTGCTACATGCGGCTGTCTAGGAGCAGCGCTCTGGAGACGACAAACTGAGAGACGACCACTGCGTCGCTGTGCAGGAGAATGATGTTCACATTTTTAATGGTGCTACTTCCTAATGCAGGAGCTGTCTTCTGAGCCCACGCGTTCTCTTGGACCAAGCGACAACAAAAAGGTATCGAATTGGATTTCCGCGGAAATTCATTTCAGTAAGAAGACAAATCGACAACGCCCTGCATCAATTTCTCTGGAATCGATAATCTCTCCGCAGGTCGCCCCTTCCCGACAACAAAAAGGAGTTTCTCTAGAAGTTTCCCTGATTCGAGACCTATGGGTTTGCCTGGCTGCATGAATAAAAGCAAGGTTTCCGGCCCTCAACAGGAGGTAGTGCAATATCAAGTGGCATCAGCTACCACAGGAATAGTCCGCGGTAATTCCTTGATCGGGTCCCCTTCACGACAACCAAGGATTCCGTCCTTTCGGGTTGGCTAATTGGTTGGTAGGTTCATCTGAGCGGGTGAAAGTAGTCATGTGTGCCCTACCTTCTCAAAGAATGTAGCAAAAATCGCAGAGCTCTGAGGGGTTGGGCATGGAGCTTTCTAGAAAGGGATTGGACATACTGAGTGCTTTTTACTCTGTGTGCATTGTGATGGTTCGATTGTGCTTATGTTGGTCGATGCCATGATCAAGATATATACCCAAACTAGTCAAATTTGCCCTAATTTGACAAATAAAAAATGATAAAGTAAACGCTCGCTGTATTCATCATTTCTACCTCTCACTTCACCTCATCAGCTTTTTGGCACATTCCGCGACGATCAGCGGGAATGTAAAAGATTGCGCAGAAAAGGAAGGCCTAACCTATAATGTAGCGTGGCCGCATGGACGAACTGGGTTTTTCAGTTTAGCCCGGTGGAAAGGCTATACGTAAGGGACCGGCCAGACGCAGTGTTCCTGGACCAGTAACTCGCCTCCTTTTGGGTTGCCATTGGACTGCCGGCCGGTACGGGTCGTGCCGGCTGGAAGACTGTTGGTTTGTCGCGCAGTGGAGACTGTCTACAGGCTTGCCAGGTGTAGTAGTAGGAAAGGAGGTATGAAGGATGGAAGCCAAGTTGTCGGGTAGGAGGGTCGTAAAGGCTCAGCTAGGCCAGAGGGAAACCAGTCGTGAGGGGTTGGCCGCGTAAGTTTTGACTGATTCGTTCTGATTCCGTAAGGGCGGATCAGACCTGCGTTTTGTCGGATGTGGTTCCTTCTGGGGCAGTTTTTCTATCCGGAACCGGCTTGCTAGCGTTTTCTTGGCCATATTTCTTGGCATGTTCTTCTGTCTATGGTTCAAGGGCACGTGCCACCTGCCGCTTTCCATACCGTGATCGATCCTTGGTGAATCGCTGGCTAATCAATTCTGGAATGTATGTGGCGCTCAAACAGTCACATGTCCATCGCAAAGGCGCGATTGTACGCTGCAACTTATTGAAACGCAAAATGTACTCGACAATGGCGGCTTCGAAGGCCGCGGCCGCGTCCCGAGCTGAAGAACAGCGTTCAATCAATTCTTGAGCCTTGCATTTAGTGCCGCCTGCATCAACAGTGCGTCTCGCAAGAGAATGTGAGTGTAGAAGTGTGATGGGTACTCTGCCGTTGGGGATGTAGCTATTTGGAAAGTGCCATTCATTCTCGGATGTTGCTCAGGAACGTTTCCCAAAACATGTTTGAAAGGAGATTTTCACACAAAAAGTGGTGAGATTTGATAATCGACGCATCGCGGTGTAGCTAGGCGTTTCTCTTTGGTGGCAGAGAATAGGGCGTGTCATGGAGGCAGAGCTGGGGTGCGGCGCTGGCGCCAAGTTTCTTTCTCGTCACTTATTGCTGACAAAAAAGCCGACAAAAGTAAGTTGGTGGAAAAAGGTCGGCGCGCCGTGCCAGAGACCAGCCCTGCAGGCGGAGCGCCCAAGGACGCCAGCGGGTGCAGCTAAAATAACTATTAGGTCACAACATTTAGGAAGTCAGGCAGAAGCTCCCTATGCAATAGAGGTATTGGCGAGATAAAACCTTGTATAGAGAAGCCATGGATCGGAGCGTAGAGGTTGCTCCATTTACCGTCTTCTACTGTCTGCCTCGGCATTATCGCGTTGTAATTCCAGTGCTGGGTGGGATGTAAGGAGAATAGCTTGATCGGCGGATAAACGGCAGGGGCAGCAACAATGTTGTAATGATGGCATTAATAATCAGAGGCGCAGTCATTGGTTTGGGTCGGGGGGGAGGCGGGTAAAGTAGACATATGAAAACGAGGGCGAAACCGCGAGACGGAGGCGAGCGCCCTACCTTCTACCATACGTCCCGGTGGAAAGCAAAGAAAAATTTAGCTATCAAATGAATTTCCTCAGCTTCTATAATGGACGCCCGAGCTCCGCCCGTCTTGGCTGGCGGCCAAATTAGCGACGCCTGCCCTATAGGAGGATTGCGCGACTAACGACGTGCCTGATAAAAACTCGAATAGAGGGAGGCTCAAACCTGAGAGGGGCAATCGCGGACGTCTCCGACACTGCTGGTTGTATTCGTTGGCAATGACGAAAGATGCGAGAAGAACAGTCACAGCTGGCGCTCTTACATTGGGTCGATAGTGCATGCTTGATTGTCTCGAAAGGTACTGTAAGCTGAAAAAGAAGTTGTTAAATAGACGACCAACTGACGACGTTTTGATGAGACTGGCGGAGAATCCTACATAGAGTGCAAGACTTGGAGACGGGTTTTGGGTTGGCTGTTTTGAGCCAGCCGTCTTGTTATTTTTAATCACGGCCAGAAACCATTATGGAGCAGACGGAAACTTTTGAGTGTGGCTTCCGATGTAAATCCTGGTATGTTGAGGCAAGAGAATCGATAAGATTCACCACGCGCCTAGGATAGGCGTTGCGTGCGGACGGTCGGCGCGACACCGGCCAAATGAATGGTTCCAAGAAATTGATGGCGAACAACAGGTAAAATTCAGGACCGGAAAAATAGTCACGAATAGTGCCACGATAGACGCCTCTACGATGAAGTGCGGTGCTCCCAAACAGCAGGCTAAGCACGGAGGGTAAGAAAACGCCGCGCGCCCATGCGCCAGGCGGCGAGAGGCGGCAAGCTAGCGCATTCTCAGTCCGTCTCCGCCGGTTAAAACCTCTGACAGGAATCCTCCATTGGTGAAGCAGGGGCAGTGCTGAGACTCTGCTCTACATTTCTCGCCCATGAAGAGTCGCCCAAAGAAATGTGGCTCTCGGGACAAAGCCAATTTTCGCGACAAATAGGGCATCCTATAGTGCCGAAACTCTTTCGTTCTAAAAAAGCCATTTCGGCGAATGGTAATCGCGCTAGAATATGAAGCTTCGAAAACCCTTTTGAAATGTCTATGAGTAGTTACTCAAGTAAAAGTGCTAGGCCTAGACAGGTTAGCGTCTCACTAGGCAGAAAGACTCGCGGGGGAGGGTGGGAGCGGGGATACGGTACTTGAAATAGTTTTTTGGCAATATGAAGCCTTAATGGTAGAGTGCTTCAGCCCTCAGAATTGGGCCAATTTGAGGACGACAAAGCTTGCGATTTCGGTAGAAAAAGCTTTCTCTGGGAATGCACTTGGGTAATCTGAAACCCTGAGTTCAGGGACAAACCTTCAGGGATATACCTTCAAATCGCTTTCAATGACACTTCTGGGAGCTTTCGAGGGCCACTCGACCTCTAAGACTGCTTTATAAAGGCTTTTCGGGTCCACTTCACTCCTACGGAGGAGACCAGATAAGACCATCCACTGGGCAAAGCTTGGTTCTAGTCAGCTGTGCTGTTTGTTGGACTCATTTCGGTTGAGGATCAGCGGACATGAGTTGCCGCGGCGTGGCTCCAGAAAGAGCATCGCGAGTTCGCATCGGGACCCAACCGTTATAGCGTTAGAGTGCTGAAGAAAGCCGAGTCAACTGTCAAGCTACCGCCCTGCGCACCTGCAAGTTTCGCCCGCAGCCCGGATCTCCTGATCCACACCCGCCGTTTCCAGTCGCTGCCTGTTCTTCCTTCCTATAGCACATCAATATAGATGGATTCCTAGAAAATGCAAAATCTCTTGAATGGCTCTTTCTCTCCCGTCATTCACATTGTCTCAGCCCACGTCGTGTTATTCCATTTCTTATGTCTTGCATATGGTAATTGGAGGAGAAGGCTTAATGCCTGGCAAGGCAGGATATGCTGAAAACATGGAATTCCATTCAACATACATTTTTTCTTAAAAGCCAGAAATCCAATTTGCTGCAGGCAAGTGAGCCGTTCTAATTGGGATGCAGCAGACAGGGTGGTCTGCAAGTTTTTAAGGAATGGATCAGAGACCAGCAGCCACACAGACAGTGACTTGAGTTAAGGAGTTTCACTTCTTAGCGATGTGGTCCGCACGGCCCTGGAAAATGCAGGTGGCCCTATGCATGTTATCAGGGCTCTAGACCTTACGAAGGTCGGTGGAGAAGCCAGCAAGTCGCCCTTTGCACCCTTTTTCGCATTTCACTTGGACGATGCTACTGAAGAAGATGTGAATCACTGAAAAGGAACATTTGTAGGGGATCCAGATTCTTGTGGCTGGACCATCGTAAGGGCATTCCACGCTCGTCGCATGGGCGGTACCGGGTCTAGCGTCGTACCTTCCTCATTAGCGCTCCTCTTCACATTCGTAGAACTGTGAGGGACATCATTGAGAGGCCTAGGGATATCTGCGAACCTCGAAGCCTTCCTCCTTCTATTAAATTCTTTCTTCCTTCGTCTTTGCTACATTCCGTCTTCTGCTTTTTTTCTTCCTACATTCCGTCTTCTGCTTTCTGTTCCTTACCCCTTTCTTTTTCCTTTTTGTCCTTCTCACTTCTCTCCTTCTTATCATAGTCATTTCAAATGCTCGGCTAGAAGGCTAGAAGATGAGGGACAAGCCTCGGAACCCTTTCAGCGTACTATGACAGAAGCCCTATAACGCCAACTGAGATGTCCAAGTGCACGTCATCTCGCCCACATACTAAAGCGTGAAATGTACCTTCGATTATATTAACTAAGAAATAATAGGAGCAATATTGACCACAAAAATGGTTGGTAAGCAGCGCAAATGAGGGGAAACGTTTCTCAGGCATTCATCAAAAGAATCTATTCGAAATAACTCACCCTAGTTGATCGGCCAATTGTTTGGCACGAGCCGTGCTCACTTGACGTCGATTTTCAAGATCAGCCTTATTGCCACATATGATGATGTCTGGTGCTTCACAGTATGCGTGAACCTTAAACAGTACGTAGTATTAGGCTATGCGCAACCCATCTATCAATTCTTTGAATCTATTATGCTTTCCCCGTACATCAGCACGAGGTACCTCTGAAAAAACGTGCCCCGCGTTCCCGCAATAGGCCTTGAAAATTTCATAGGAGTTTGAGTGGGGATCATGCATAAACTGTAAACAGAACGGTTTCAGAACCAATGAAACCACCAAAAAAAACCCCAGTCAGTAAAAAACATAGTCTAGCCTGCAGACCAAGGTGAACCCATATGCGAACATATGCCGATTTCAGGGGAAAGTTTTGTATCCCCGACTCCTTTTGAGGATGGCTTTCCAAGTCAGTCCATTACAAAAAATCAAATTATGAAATCGAAAAACGCAGATTAATCGGGACAACAAACAACGCGACTTTCCCAGCAGCGCCCAGCTGAAATGCGCCTGACGACGGTGCGTCTTCTCACGAGGCACCTTTAGCGATTACAAGTCGTAAAGGGTATTGGGTCAAGAATGAATTCTTCGCATGGTTGTCCGACCTCACGTGTGAAGAAAAACGTGAGAGAATACAGAATCACTTCGCTACGCTCCTTACATGGCTTTTTTCAATCCATTTTGAGCCTTGGCGAGCATTGGAGCTAGCGAGAAGCGACGAAACAGTGGATGCGCACAGAGAGAGGCATGACTACGCGCAATCAGGCGAGCTATAACTGTAAAACACCAATCACGAGAGCTGAGAAATAGTAGTTGTACCTGCGGTGAATAATCACCCAATTGCAGTGATTGCGTGTGTATAGGCGTGTGTTTCCTGGCAGGGGCGGAGATACCATGCTATCGAAAACCCAGCGGCGTCCTGTCCCGTTTTCTATTTCGGAAGTTGAGCTACAAGTGAATGCAAGGCGGCCTCCACAGGCAATTGGTGCCTACTCGTACATGATAAAGTCTTGTTACCTATCGCATATTCACGAAATGAGCAACGATTCCCTCCCTGCCCCCTCTCCGCCCTTCCCCCAAATTTTAGCCATTCACCGGGAAGTTATCGTTTTTCCGTCCCACCTAACGTTGAAAGGCAGCTGTTGCACTTACCAACACTTTGGATCAAACTGAATTCAGAACATGCGAGTGTGCCTTTAAAAGTCTCAAAAGCAACAACTCGTCCTACCTTCAGCTGTGAGAGCCAATCTCTGATATTGAGAAAGGACTGCTCGTTGGTGATGTCGAAAATGAGAACGAAACCCATTGCATCGCGGAAAAAAATTGCCGTCGGTTTTGGTCTTTCGTTAAACTTCGGAACCTGAAAATCTCACCATAAAAGCATGATAATTAACTCTTCCATCCCAATAACAACTGCGCCGCATGGGGGACAAACAACAGTGCCCACGCATTTGTGACGCAATTATTAATGAGCTCATATCTATATTTTTTCAACCTATCCATCTTTGCTGCGACTATTTTTATGACTGGAGGAGTTCTAGAACCATGTGTCAGTGGCTTGGGCCTCGTTATTCCAGCCCGAACGAGGCTGACCGCCTCTGCTGCAATCAGAGCACGCTATGGCGATTGAGCACATTTTCCCCAGACACGACCCCATACCACCTCCAGGGGTCGAGGAAAGGGTCAAAAATCGGCGGAGAATTCTGGTCAAGAGTAGGTCGCGGAGAAAGTTTCCTGACTACGATGCACCCCTAACGTCCTCCACGATTTACATCCCTACCCTCTCCCCTCTTCACATTCGAGCGAAGGTTAAAAGGATGGCGGAAGAGCGAAGAGGAATGCCAGCTCCTAAAAATCACGCTATCAGGAACAGTGCGAGTGCTGTGCAACCAGCTAGAGGTTGGCTGGTATCATACACTGTAAAGAAGCAGAACGAATTTCATGACATATCTTTTGTCCCCCCCCCCCCCCCTCCCTCCCCTCCCCTTACTCAGAACTACGTCAATGTATCGATTGCAGAAAGCGATAAATTTCCATTGGGGCTTGCCCAAGATAAAGGAGAAGCTCACCAGGAAGACCTTATTCTACATACTCATAAGCGCCCAAGAAGTTGATCAAAGTTGATGTGGGCTGCCCTTAAGGCTTGCCACAACTTTGCCCCAAACAAACCTTAGGAATTTATCGGTTAAGCGAGGCAGGAAGGACCGAACATCTTACTATCCGATAAACTTACAGCAGAGCACTTCTTTCCAACTAATGAGAGAGGGAACTAGAGAAACCCCTCCTCCCGTAAATCCATTCTCGGCGCTAGGAGCTTCTCTAATCCTTGTTCTACTGCAAACTTAGTCCAACTTCTAGCCATGTTCGGAATCCCAGTGAAAATAAGGTCTGGTGAAATGCATAGAAACGCAACTTCGTGCGGCAGACGTCACTCCAGGGGTAGCATAATCTATTCATAGAGCCATTCCTTATATAGAACTGACATGATTAGCAGCTACGCCTTATTTTGGAAGGCATTTCTGACCAAGATCGCGACCCTTTAAAAGCGTCAGGTTGCCTGCAAATAATGGAATTTTTACAGACCATGTGAGAAGCGGGTTGAATTTTGATTCGAGAGCAAGTAAAACAGCTCGGGTACGTAGCATTACATTCTTTTTCGCTAAATTTTGACATTTTTTTACAGTCAGTCAGATTTTGAGGTATAGACAAGATTGCCGTCTAGGTACGTTCGCGGATGATCCTTTTGGGAAACTGAGGAGTCATTCAACATTCTCTCTATTACTGCCGCATCGGGAATGGAGGGGGAGGGCGCATTTGTTCCCACTTATGGTTGAGCACAGAGAAAGAATACTTTGCGCAGCTCGGCGACGGGGAGGGGGAGCATTTTGTTGAGGCACTAGTTCCGGTTTACCGGTCTTACTCTGGTGAATCTTACGAGCTCTTATGAAGCTGCAGCAAGCTCGTCTACCACCATGGTTAGACCTGCCTAACCTTGTAAGCTCGTCGATGGCAGTGATAGCAAAGTGCAAGACCCCCCCGTCGCCGAGACTACCCCGAAAATTGTATCTTCGGCTGTCTCACAGCACGCTGCGTTAACGCGAATCCTCTTGTTTCTTATGGCAGCTCAATGTTATTCATTTGTTCAAATTTTAACCAGTTTCCCCTAGAGTCGTCTAGAAACAGAATGATGTGTGCCTCGTTGAAAAGGAGTCGAATTAATAGAGAATGTAGAAATTCCGAAAAGGAATGGGACTCTGCTCATGGAGTAGCATTCATATTTCCTCTATCACGGGGTTTTTTTTTGTAGGAAATTTTGCGGCGCGAAGCGAGTTTTTACACCGCCCGAACGATCTGCGAGCCAAGCGACTGGCCGATCGCGCTCTACTGCCAATCGTTGGTCCGCTCCAACGAACCTCAAATAGAGATAACGCGTAAGGAAGCAGAGGTTTAACAAGGTTATCCTTCCCTCCCCCTCCCCCGAGAGAAATATGCGGCCCCATGCGAATGAACTAGCAGTTGTAGATTACAGTTAGCCATGGAGCGCCTTCATGACGACTCCCACTTCGCGCTGGGTTAACTGCTTGAGTCGGGGAGTACAAAAGCTGCCTAAAGAAGGGTGGGCGAGTCTGCACCTTCGCTTTTAAGGGATTGCAGCGCAGCGGTGGGAAGTGGGGTGGGGGAGATAATGGTGGACGACCGATTTCAAGACGTAATTTTCTCGCCATATCCTTCTCTGGAGCGTATTTCTCTCGTCTTCTCTCCTCAGTGTTGTTCCATGCTTTTAATTGAATTATGCTTTGACTTAACTAGCCCAGGCCCACTTTATTTCCCCCTCATGCAAGGCAAATGACACCTTCTTCTCTGAAGGGTTTATGTCACATCTCCGCGAATACTTAATAAAGCTGTAAGGCATAGAGTGTGCATTAACGAGGGTAGATACGGTAACAGAGCGCAGGGAAATAACTGCCTTCAAAAGCTATTGGGACTCAAATCCGTCCCAATCGACTCACAACTTGGTCCCAGTCAGGAGAACTCTACCTCAACTCTGAGCGTCTGGGCACAGCCGGAGAACCCAGCTATATTCCAAGCTGCTGCATAACTTCCTAAATATGTAGAACCTCGAACCCCTCAAAAGCTCGCGGATATACCAACTCGAGCCACGCCATTAGCCACCTTTGATGACTCCAAACGTCCGGGAGTCGTTTATGAGCCTCCACATGCGTTCTTGGTATATCAACCCCGAGCGGTGCATATTTAGCCATCGTTGGGAAACTGAAGGAATTTTGGGCGCAGTTTGTCGACGGGGGGGCATTCGGCTTTTCATAGATGTGCCGACCCATCTAGGTAGCCTTTTCTCGAGTTGACACGTTTTAGGATGGTGGCTAGACGATCTTACTCCAGCTTCACAGGCGTTCACAAGTTTTACCATGGTGAGATTCGTAAACCGGAACTAGGGAAGCAATGTTAGTACAAAATGCCCCCCCCCCCCGTCGCTAAACAGCGCCGAATTTTGAAGCTCTATCTAAGGCTTCTAAGACATCATTGAGCCAGATTTGAGGCCTCCAGGACGTGCTGGGGACTTCGTGAACCATCTCTAAGGATTTCGAGGTGAGGGCACGTTCTACTCTACTAAGTTCCCAGTGGACGGGGGTCGTATTTGGTCGCTGGATGGAGTGGTGGGGGTGCATTTACCTCTAAGAAAATTTTTTTGCATAGTTGATTCTCCCTGTTTTTACGGGTGCTATTCATATTGAGGGAAATAGGGGGTCGTTTTTGTTCTAGAGAAAAATTTGCTATTTTGCGGAATCCCGCCCCCCCCCTGCTCGGCGGCGGCAGCAAAGTTTTGGTGAAAAGTGGAAAAAATTCCTGAAATTGAAAATTGGGGAATTGTGGGGTATCTAGAAGGATCTAGGAAACTGAAGTGGTGGGTAGGATGGTGGGGATCACATTAGAGATCCAAAATGAGGTAGGTGTCGTATTTCCCAGAAGTTTTTCCCAGCGGTAGGAGGTGCCCTGTTACAGACCTTCTCTACATCCCATCTGGGATTTCCTCGACATTTTCAGAAAATTCCTTGCAACTGAAAGTCTGCAGAGGTAAGCGGAAGCATGCCATTTTTGCCGTTCTCTAGGGAACCGTGCCGTGGCTGCACTCAGCACATCGATGAGAGACCTTGTCCGAGGACGTTAAGTAGCTCATTCATCACTCACTAATACCAACGTCTTACGGCTGGCTGAATATGACTCCGTGCTATTATACATTTCGTTGCTGGGGGAGAGTTTTGCATTGAAAGAGTCGTCTAACCTCGAAGTTTCGAGTTTTCACGGCTCGAAGGCCCAGTCTGTCAGCCTCGGAGAATAGCTGCGGAAGATGCCTTATTGCACTTTCACAGCGCGTTGAATCGATTTCCGCTATGGACCAATTAGGCATTCCATTCCCGCTGGGGCTGGTCAATTGGCACGAGAGAGAGTCAGCTAGAACAATAAAAAACATTGTTCTGAATTCCAGTCGGTTCTAGGAAGTCCATGAACCATTCCAGAGTTTATCCAAGGCTGAAGGATGGTTAAATACCTTAGCACCTTTCACAGCAGGGTTTTTGCTCTCTTAGAGGCACGGTCTTCGAAAT